TATGATTTCCATGTCGTATGGTACATAATTAGGGGCCACAAGGGGCCAGAATGCTAAATCTTTGATGCTTTATATCTCGAAAGGGAGAAATATTTTGATAAGCAATATTGAACAAAAGTTGTTCAAAATAATGTTCTAAACAATATGCAACCTTTCATTTTTTGCTAAACGTCCCCATTAAGGAGTTGAAGGATTGGCCCCTAAAAGTTTCTTTTTCTAATATCTCAGAAACGAAAAAGAATTTCTGAACAATTGTTGAACACAAAATGTTCAAAATCTTAAGATCTTTATATGATATGAAAAAAGAGGGCCGATTCCTATAATTAGGGGCCGTTAGGGGCAAAAGGCCGATTTTTTTAAAGACTTTAATGTTCAATGTCTTTTTACAGATTGTGGTAAATCATTATTTTAGAATGAAAATCGCAATCAAAATCTTATCTCATCTCATCAAGAATTGGACGGAAGACCCACTCGTTGCTCGCAACGAGATCTCATCTAGTTTCTTTTCTTATTATAACTACCTGTTTTTTATGTGAATAGTATAGACGTTTCTTTGTACATCATCATTTAACCTGTTTTAACAACCACGTCATAGCTTAGTGAACAGATAACTATGTTTTTAGCAAAACCTGTAAGAAGATAAGCATAAGAGTTACAGCAGAATATGTGTTACTTATACTGATTTATTTTGAAAAAGGATCAGTCATACATGCTTCTGATGCAGTTTTGTTTACACGTTTGAGTTTTCTTATTAAAAAATACCTTGGGTGAGATCATTTGAATAAACTTACAATTCTTAATTTTCATTGACTCCAGCGTTCTTAAAAATTAACACCAGACACTGTTTTTTTTGTGACGACATAATCTAAAGCTATACTATTGTTTATTTGATCATTCTATCAAATTTGATCGATTAACATAACAAAACATGAACATACAGCATTGGATTGTGGGTCGGCTGAAAGCTCAAGTATGCTTTTCTGATCATATTTTGTCCATTGGCCGTCTGTCTGTCTAGCTGTCCCTAACTCCGTCTGCAAACTTTTTCCCTTCTACCAGAACTTGATCTATTTTAACCAAAATTGTCACTAAGCATGCATTGGTGAAGTGCATTCTAGTGCTTCCTATAGTAGGGCCAGACTCTTATTCAAGAGGATATCATTCCGAATAACTGAAAATGTTGTGTCATGTTTTAAAAATCTTCTTCTCAAGAAGCACTGTGCAAGGAAACATTAAACGTATGGGGAAACATTCTCCGATATTGTATAAACACGTTTTTCAAACTCCTGGGGGTAGTTTGGGCCACACAGGACAATCAAAGTCTTACATAGAAATATACAGAAAAAATTAATTAAGATCTTTTTCTCAAGAAGAGCAAACCCATGATTGGTCATACTTATATGGAAGCATTTTCAGGTTGTGGAAATTCAAATTTCCTAAAATCATGACCCCTTGAATAGGGAGGGGCCACCATGGACGAGTAAAGTGTAATAAGGAAATTATAGGAAAACTCTTTAGATACCTCCTTCTCAAGAACATCAAAACTATGATTGGTCATATTTATTTGAAAGTGTCCTTAGCTAGTGTATGTTTGAGTTTGTTCAAATCCTGAAAAGAGCGAGGTAACAAGTTACGATCAAAGTTTCACAAAGAAAAATATATAAAAAATCTATATTTAAAAAGATCTCTTTTTCAAGAACGTGGCCATGATTGGTCATATTTATATGAAAGCATCCTCAGGTAGTGTAAATTCATGTTTTTTTTTAAATGATGAACCCCGGGAGTGTGGTAGGTAACAAGGGATGATACGAGTTTAAGAATAGTACGATAAATCTTTTAAAATCTTTTACTTAAAACAACAAAGCCATGAATAGTCATCTTGTATAGAAGCATCGCCAGGTAGAGTAGATTCAAATTTGTTCAAATCATGACGCCCTGGGATAGGACGAGACCAAAATCGACGAACAAAGTCTTACATAGAAATTCATAGAGAAATATTTTTACTCAAGAACAGAAAAGCCATGATTGGCTGCATTTATATGGAAGCATCCACAGGTCGTGCAGATTAAGATTTGTTAAAATCAAGACTGGTGTGCGGGTTCGGGGGGGGGGGCAGTGGATGGTACATGTAGGACTATAAATTTAATTCAAACTTAAAAGGTAAAAAAGCCACACTAAGTTAAAGAAATATGCAAACATCCTTATCAAGTGTGCTTTGAAGTATTCAAGTTTGCTCAAAACATAGTCCCACCTCTTTAAGTGTAAATAGGTACCACTTATGAATTTAAATTTTCATTTCTGAAAACAATTTTAACATATTTTCATATATACTAGTATCAGTCTGAAAAGTATAAGAATTCATTTAGAACCTTTCAAAATATTTTTGAAGCTTATACATAACGAATTGTAGGATTTGTTTGAACGGATTTAACAGGAACAACTTGGGTTTTCACTATGCGATAGTTCGCACAAGCTAAAAAAAATTATAACTTTTTTAATAAATTTAATAAAGCGAATTTTAACTAGAGGTACTGTGAGCAATGAACTCACTAAATGATACTCCCCGCCTCCGAAATGAATATGATGGCAGTGTCCATGTTTTGCTCTGGAAAATCACAAATATATGTCAGATCAAAAAGTAAAATGCACAATGGCATTATGTAATTAAGAATCTGTGAAAGTTTCATTAAATTTCCGTCAGTGGTATAAGAGGAGTTGCGGATAAGAATTGGGTACCCAAAAGCGTAACAGACGGACGGACGGAAATAGCGATTACTAAATAGCCTCCCACTTTTCAAGCGGGGGGTATAACAAAGTTAAGAAATCACAGTTAACAAAATCCTATAACGATGTTTTAAATGGCATGCTTGTAACGTTATGATAAACTGTAGTTCATTAGTTCATTCGGTAGCCACAATATAAAAGAAAAGTATAATATATAGAAACTGTACTTTTGAAATCTTAAAAAGGCAGTTAAGAAATCCACTTTTCGTATGCATTTGTAGTATCATTCATATTTTGTAATACTTCGTAAAACTAGGAAAACATTACATTTTGAGAAACTCTGGAGACTAGGCGGAGGAATTATGAATTTATTTCATACATAATAATGAATCTCTACCGAAAATATCCAGAGAATAAAATTAAACACAATATGGAGGTCTCTTTGGAAAAACGTTTTGTCAATGCCTGTCAGTGATATTAACAATGCGACATTTAAGTACGGACACGACAAAGTCCAGACTTTAGGTACCCTTTCGAAAAGACAACATTTAAAAATTTTCCTAAAGTTTGGTGGGATTTTTTATTCTCATCTCTCAAATGATTATACAATAAAGGTCAGACGAAACGTTCCTCAAATTTATGTTTTGTATCTCTTAATATTGTATCAAAAATTTTTCAGATTTGTCATTCTCTTCTGATTTCTACATTGCTTTCAAAATGTTTGTAAATATAAGTACACCAAAACTTTTGAAAAAAGCCATTCATAAGATTACCCATAAGTGTTATATAAGAAATATGACCCTTGTCCAAATGCCTGGTAAGGTACCCTAATTTTTTGTGAGGAAACTTGTTTAGGTACCTTTACTTCAATGACAAATTCTTGGGAAAAATTATATATTTTTGAGGAACGTGTCATCTGACCTTAATGGCTTCTTTTAGTGAAAAAAAACTGCAATGTGCTTTTTGCTTTAAATCAATGAGAATGCAAACATGGAAACGGGACCACAAAATATTACTTGAATATGTTTACTTAATACGTAAATAGCTGGGTCATATCTTGTAAAAGGACATTTCCTTTAAATCATGATATTGCAAAATAGGACGTTTCTTTAACTTTATTTTTTTACTTTGGTTCTAGATTTTGCTCTAAGGAATTACAACATTAGTTATGGATGTATTAAAATAAGTTTTACTCGCGTTGTTAAACCGTTGCTTGCATTAAATAGTGCAGTACGTGAGAAACTTGAAAGTGTATGTATTGTAAAAAAAAATTAATTGTACTTTTTTATAGAAGAGAAAATAACAAAGGACATGCCTTTGTAATTCTTTTTGTGTTCCGATTTATATCTCCTCCCCAAATAAATTTTATATCATAAAAAAGAAATATTTAACTTTACCGCTATATTTGAAGACTTTTAAGCTTACCTTGGCAGTAAGCTCAAATAAGATTATGAGTATGATCAAAATTTGTCCGTCATTGACGTCGTAGTTGTCGTTGTCGTCGTTGTAGTCTTTGTTGTCGTCGTCGTTTTTACATTTTCATCTTCTTCTCAAGAGCAACTCGGCCAATTTCAACTAAACTTGCCACAAAATATCTTTGGGAAAAGGGGCTTCAAGTGAGTTCATATGGAGCGCCACACACACTTTCAAGGGGAGATAATAATGAATTAGCGATAAATTAATGGCATCGTTTAGAAATCTTATTCTCAAGATCCACTGGGCCAGGAAAAATGAAACTCATGTGAAAGCATCCTCAGATAGTTCAAATTCACGTTTATTCAAATCATGACCCCCGGGGGTAGAGCTGCCACAATGGCTGATGAAAGTTTTACATAGGAATGTTTGGAGAAAATCTTTAAAAATCTTCTTCTCAAGAACAGCCAGCGAAGCCATTATTAATCATATTTATATTGAAGCATCTGCAGGTTGTGTAGATTCAAGTTCGTACAAATCATGACCCCTGGGGCTAGGATGGGGCCACAATGAACGATCAAAATTAAACATCTTCTGAAGAACTGCAAAGCCATGGTTTGATATATTTATTTGGAAGCATCCCTTAATAATGTAGATTTAAGTTTGCTCAAACGATGCTCCTTCCCCGTTACCCGTTCTCCAACACTCAGGCATTTTATGCATTTTAATACTTAACTAATTGTAAACACAATTACTCTAAAGTAGATATTTAAAGGTTGTTCGAGTTTCTTAACTACGTATCTAATTAGTTGACTTTAAAAATAATAATGACCAAATTACACATTTTTTCTAAATAACTAGAAATGTCAAAAGTTTATGAGAGTACAGAGAACAAAGATGCATCCCCCAGTAATTTTGTACGTTATTCATAAAAGAATATATAGATTTTCCTCATTTAAAGAGATATTTAAAACATTACTTTTATTGATGAAGGTTAAGCCCTTAGAAATCATAATCTTTGAGAACAAAAATCCTGTTTAGCTTATTATTTGTTCTTTTGTGTTTTCAAAGATGCCACAGATGATGTATAAGAACTTTGGACACATTGTCTATTCGTGCCCTCAGAATGAAAAAGAATTCACTGCATCAGGGGACAGACTTAATTGTTCGTTGGACGAAAATGGACGTAATCAGTATGTCTGTGCTCCAGATAATGAGCAGTCAATGTTGGTGGAATTCTGTTTCAAAGGCTTAGTCGGTCTTTATGAAAAAGGTACGAAATTATTTCACAGAACTTTTTATATAGTTCTGATATAGGTAATCTTTTTTTCTATACGTCTTCTAGATCTTTTAGTACAAAGTTTATTTTCTAGACAAACGTCAAGAGTAACAATATTTTTGAATATGGAGCTCTGTCGTACTTTTAGCAACATTCGAATATAGGAGCCTCTTCTGTGATAAGACAATCAATTTCACTTGAACCCTTGTTGATAGATTTCACCGAAAATGACTCTTTTTTTCTTGATAGTCAATGCATTATGATGTTATTAAATTATTCACATTTCTGAAATATTTCTTCAAAAGTTGTCAAAAAATGGTGCTATGCTTACAATTTATATAACAGTCAATTTTGTTTGCAGTTTACCCTCTGATTGGTTAATAACCAAAAAGAAACACTGATTATTTTATTTAATTATGCCTAACCTAGTTTGGTAGGGAACACATTTACGTCCCACTGAAAACCAGCTGAATCATCTGTATTAATACTTTTCTCTCATTTACAGTCCTCTGGATGCATGGAAAATTCAATATTCAATAAAACAACTTTTAACTTCACACAGTAACTCGATCTTACCACATGTTAGCAAACAGCATGACTGATAGGCCCATGTACATCTATCAGTTTTTACCTCCCATTGCTTACTTTTATTTTTGTGTTACTGAGAGGCAAATTTGAATTCATGGGAACATATCACAGGTCAACAAAATGTCATGATCTTTCGATGTCACTTTTGTATAATATAAATAATTGAAATTCCATAGACATTTTAACCTCTTTTTCTAAACTAAAATAAAGATAAATACAAATTGGCATCAGTTTATGTTATGATATAAAATTTTAAAATGCAAATTCTTCAAAAAATATTGATATGGTTGTCCTAAAATTTTAGACAGACGGAATTTATACGTTTCAGTTCTACCTAGAGAATATTTAATTTTTATTTTCAACACATTAAAATATACACTGTATTATTTTATTTAGGTAATTGTTTGGAAGTGTTGGATAATGGCTATTTGAACCAAATCAGCTGTCGTGATTTTAGAGAAGGATGTCCTACTAATCACTTCTTTATTTCTGACCTATATAAATGTAAGTTTATTTCTTTATTTGATTTCATTTTATCTACCGTAAATCTGAAAAGTTTCAGATTTCGCAAAATAAATCGACGTAAAAATTTCCAGATTTACGGTATATGAAATATATGGGGGGAAATGAACGGAATTCAAACTCAAAAGTCACTTCAAATTACTAAATTTTGAGTGGAGCAAACACGGATGTCCAAATTATTAGGGTCGGGATCATGTGCCTGAAGAGTGAACATCTACTGACTAAGTCCAAATCCGATGTGTACTTCTTACCATAGTCGTGAAATATCGGTGTATTCCGTCCACAATTCTATGTGTAAAAATATCCTAACACTATCAATTAGTATGAGGAACATCACACAGCATTTGATTTTATAGTAGATGAGAATTTTATTGTATCGGCAATAAAACTCACGAAATGATGATTTCAAACAAGACTGTTGGTATTCTTGTTTCATCAACTTGTTTGTTAGTAACTAACTGTTGTTTATATTGTTCTTGCGTAGAGCATGTTCTTTTGTGTCAACATCAACCGAGAGATGTAAACCCCACATGCAGCTTATGAGTGTATATGTAGTTGCATTAGTTAGTGAAGTTGATAAATGAGGTAGGATTACAATAAAATTGTTTTGTTCTATTACCTTTTACTTCTTTCTTAGTAAAATGTCAAAATACGAAACAAATGTTTTAGAATTTTTGATACCTTTTATTTTAAGCATACCATAATACATTGTGTCAACATATTAATAGAAACTAATATTGCTAATTGACTTTATATTTATTATACATGTATTTTGACATTTATACGTAACATATTATATAAACTAAAAACTACATTTATAGCGTATTCTGAGTAAAACACACATTGTGAATAAATTTGAATTAAATGGATAACAGAAACATTTCATGATCTTCAATGACATTGTAGATAAATTGGTAGTTACCAAAACATGCACACACAAAATGTTAATACTTGATATAAAACAAACTTTTGAAAGAAATCTCCCTTCAAGTAACTTAACTTTTTAGTTTGTTAATGTATTGAAATCGTGCAGTTAGAAATTTTTTGAGAATAGATTTCCAATTGTATTCGAACAATTTTTTTTCACTGATTTGAAACCTGGAATAAGAGGTCGCCTGTCGCAAGTTACCAGTTTGACATTCTCCTACAAATTGACTCATCAAACAAGGCAAAGGTTGATTGATTGATTGATTGATTGATTGATTGTTGTTTAACGTCCCTCTCGAGAATATCTCACTCATATGGAGACGCCACCACTTGCCAGTGGAGAGCTGCAAATTTTTTTCTTTACTCGGCACTCAGGGTCATTGAGTAGGGAGGGATCTTTTACGTGCTAGCACCTACTGAGACACGGGAAATCGGTTATACAATCTCATCCAAAGGAACCAGTATTCTTTAGTAAAGTCAATATATACAGCAAGGTTAAGTACTCTTTGTATTTAATCGCACCTCTGGTTCTCAAACGTGGTAAAAAGATTTATTTTTTTTCAATTGGTAAAGAAATTGACAACATGTTGACTTTACATTGCAAAACATGATCGTATGTGACATCAAACTTCAAAATCAGGGTGTTCTATATCACGATTCTTTTATCTGACCCCTTCATCCCCAACTCATTTTTACTTATTTGGAGCGATGAAGTGTATCACTACTAAACCTCTTCAATCAGACTATTTTCTTACATTCTCCTTTTCACGGATTATTGTCCGCCATGTTCTTTTATTTGGTCGTTATATATGAGGCCCCCAATACATGCCGTTCACTTAATCACTTTTCAGTGTAATCAGTTGTTACGGGTGTAGACGGGCGTTTGTTACATAGGTATTATAAAACTGTGACAGGGCAAAAGAATTTGTGTGTTTCTGGAGGCAAAGAATCTTTTATTTTTTTTACCAAAAACATACATTACTTGTACAGGTCAGTGCAGTATAGAAATAAATATAAGTACAAATGTACTGCAAGAATTTTTTTTAAAAAGATAAATCTTAAAATAATCTTTGGTAACCAGCATGAGTACGTGTCGTTCATTTCCAACCGCTTCCCATAATGATTGTACTTGAAAGGTGAAATGAATGCGATGGGTATACCCAAGTGCTGATATCGGATATCTTAAAATAAATATGTCTATTTATGATTACTCTTCAGCTTTATGTACTAAATTAAAAGCGTTTTATATGAAGTTTCCTTGATTTACTTCATATTTACATAATTTATTTGTTCTGATTTAACATGCCTGCATTGATCATATGACGGTAACTCGTACTTATAATTTTCTGAAGAGTTTTAAGTAAATCAAGTATGCTTAACTGATCAAAATAAAAATTTTAAACTTCTTTGTTAATAGAATCAACTTATCGTATCCGCGTGCACCAGAAATGTGCTTGGAAAAATTTCTTATTCCACGTGGATACCAAATATATCAGGAAAAGTTCGATTCTTATGCATTTGTTTTGTTAAAAACACGTTTTGATTGGCTAATGCACTGAAGTTTGAAGCAGCAAAACGAGCAGTACCGTGAGTGAAAGCTTTTCATTGTGGCATCATAATGGAACATTACAAAAACACAATGCTCCGTGACGTATTTTAATTAAAGAAACTCAACAAAATAAGAAGTATTTACAAAATGCATGGATTGCATTAGAATAGGAAAAACCGATCTTCTAATTTGGTTTTTGCGACCATAAATGCTGATTTAATAGTCGCAAACTAAGTTTTTCTCTAATTTAACGACACATTTAAAGGTATTTTTCCCAAAATTCCGTAATTTGCCTCAAACAATCCCTCACCAATCCCTATGTGTCTTTACGCTACAGTCTTTAACATTAGTGACGTCATGTATGATCTCTCAATGCAGCGAGATCAGTTACACGTTTATTACAAGGTAAACACTGATAAGTTGAATCACATAGAATCATATCACAATCATTGCATGGTAATGTATTTTTTTAAGTAGGAACTACAAAAATTGTTTTTGTGTTTAGAAGCAAAGATTCTCTGAATGCATTTTGCATTTCGTTTGACAGTTTTTAATTTTCTTGTGACGTCACAGTTGTGTTTCCCGCACTCTGAAAATATAAACACGAAGCCTTTTAATTAAGGTGTAATATCCCTTTTAAAAAAGAGATTACTTTTTGAATACATATTTCGATGAAATTTAATGGATTGTCTTGTCAGAATGTGCAACATTCTGTAATGAGGACCATTATATAGTCATCTCTCACAACTCCAATCTAATCTACAGATGTTGATTTCTAGTTTACATTGTCAAAATTTTTATTAACTATCATAATTTGCCTGTAAAACTGTGAAAATAGAGATATGTCTGTCTCTTAATCTATCAATCTTTTAATTTCAGATGCAGAATTGTTCATGAACATTTAATGAATATTTCGTTTCGCTAAAAATATCTTAAAGGGAGATAATGGAAATGTAATTATTTTTTATGGATAATTATTATTTTAAAAGCACAGAAAACAATTTGATATTCTGATTTAATAGCAATGCTTCGTTATGTTTTCTAAGCAGAATTAGAAAGGTATGATGTCGACATTACAAATTAATTATTATCATATATACGTCATACTTATAATTTTATTTTGAGTTTAAAAAGTATTGATATTTCTAATTACCATTTTAATAAATACTCTTCACATCATCATTCGACATAATATTCATTTCTGAAAAAAGTAAGCAACACCTCATACTTTTAATAATTTTCCATTTGAATCTAATAGAGTATTGTTTCTGATGAAAATCAATGTTTGGAATTTAAAAAACGTGAAATTTGTAACAGAGGGACATTTCACGTGATACAACTATGTCTTATGTGATAATGAGGTAAGCTTCATCTCACTATATTGTTGATTACTACAAAGAAGCACTTCAGTTCAATCGTAAATTTAAAAATAATTATGGACAGAATAATTCCCAGATAACTTTTTTGTCATTGAAGCTTTCTTTAAAAGTGGGTAATTTAGACAATTTATATACATTGTGAGAAAAGAATTAATGCTTTATTTTGTATTTTAAATTCTATCCATATTTCGAATATTTTAAGAGGTCGAATGGACCCATAAACACGAGGAATCAAATCTTTATACACATACCTGTTCTCTGCGGAGCGATATTTATATGGAGATATAGCTTAAATAAGCCAAGAAATCTAACGAAAAAATGCTTTGAAACGTGTATGACATACTAAATTAAAAATATAAAAAACATTAAAAATAATTCATTGATTTTTTAGCTCAGGCCCTGTTCTTCCTTAAATCTTTTTACCTTTAATTATGGTCACATGTACATCTTGCGAGTGAAATATCCCTTATACCTTTGTCACATTTCCCGACCGTTTACCGTACACTGGTGGTAATTGGTGGTATAATTAGTGGTGTGAGCGATGCCCTAACATCGGTCCACATCGGCCTCGAGTCCTTAAAGTATCAGTCACACTATCCAGCGATGGGGTATACGATGGGCAACCGATGCTTTTTTTTTTTATACAAGTGGCGTGGTTGCCGACATTGGAGAACATTGTTCGTACGTGGGTCGACCGATGATCAACGGATGTCTGTTGCTAACCACCCAATCCCCCGACGACCTAAGATTCAACGGATACTTGACGATGCTCTGCCATAAGTCGGCCAATCCTTAAAAGATATGTTGATAATGGCTTGAGGAGCGATGTGGAGCATCGGTTGAGACATCGCTGATTTTTTACTACAACTTATTTTCTACCGATGACTCCTACCGATTCGCCAAATAACCTCAGTAACCGTCCGATTACTTTAGGTGTCCGGCCGGCAACCACGCATTTTTTATCTAAAAAAAGGCATCGGTTAATTGTTCAGTGTATACCGCATTGCTGGAAAATATGACTGATCGATACTTAACATGGTTTGTGTCGCCAATTCCTAATGAAAGATGGGTTCAATGTAAATAATTTTTTGAATATGTACTTTCAATTTTAAAGTGAGAGTCAACAGCAGGAAATTCATAAATTTCGAATGGTTTTTTAAACACAAAAAAAAATCCATTACAAAATGATTTTTTGTAGTTCCAGCTTGTCATGAGATAAATCCACACATGAAATGTTTCTTGGCAGATCCTGCTTGTCCAAATATGTATGTTAACGATTTCTTCTTTTTCTTTTATCTTTTCTTTAATCTAGCTATGGAATATTTTGCAGGGCTTCGTTTTCCTGCATAACATCAAAATTTGTTTAATAATATCTAAATATTATTATAACTGCTAAAAACATTTACAAATGGTTTGTTTTAGTAAATAAAAGTAATTTCAAATGCAGAATCTATTTTAATTGCAAAGATATTCATTTTTGTCAGTAAAACTGTTTTAAATAAGGTAATATTAACTGCTAAACTGCAGCAGTGATATATATTTTTTTCAAATAATGTGCTCTGAATCTCCTTCAGATTCTGCAGAGTTTTGCTTCTTACGATTATTTCTTATTTCACAGAACTGCAGCAGGTACAGATGATGGAAAATCTTTGTCTTCCTCAAGTATTTTAGCAATCACATTGGGATTACTTATTCCCATTCTGCTCATGATAACCATAGCGGTGCTGATTGTTTTGAAAAAATGGAGAACGAATTTAACTCAGCAGACAGGAGGTATTTCAAAACTAATTTATGTTCTAAGTACGATTGGAAAGCCGTAAAATAAATAATGTATATAGGGAAATTTTGGCCCCATTTTCCCTGTAGATAGTAGGAATATAAATATTCACTGTGTTGAAATAAACATATATAAAGAAACAAATGATTTTGGATGTTATTACAATACAATTTAATAATGTACGATAGACAAGGCAGGGTAACAGTTGAATCTAACGCCTTAATTAATATAAAAATCAGAACACTGGTAGAATTGTGATAGTTTGTAGTTCAGAAGTTAAAATGATCCTCATTTTAATACAAGCACTAATTTTGAGTCAAAGCTTACATGGAAGCCACTAGAAGGCGCAGAAATATGACATTTTCTAGAATGTCTTCAATTCTGGTGAATTTCATCATATTTGGAATACATTTCTCTTCGGAAAACAAAGAGCTCAAGCTTTCCTATCTGAGATTTTTACACATAAACTGCATCTGATATAAGTTTATAAAATATATAAATTTTGTAGATAGGCAAGCGCGTGCTCTATGTTTTTTCGAAAGAAAATGTGCTGAAAAAGTGATGAAAATTTGCATAAAAATGAGAAATGACGGAAATTGACCTTTTTCTTGACCTTGCTTTGACCCCTGTATATTCTGAATCTTAAAACCAATACTCACTTTGTCTTAGGGCTGACAGAAGTTTTTTATTGATAAACTGTTGGATTATTCTGAAAGACAGCCAAACCTGGGGGCCAAGTACTGCTCTTACCCTATCTTGTCCTTTCAATAACATTTGACAGAAGTTGTGCAGAGGAAAACTGAATCAGTTAACCTCAAAAGGGGCATCCTTCAAATGGGATATATAATTAGTTACTATGGATTGAGATTGATAATTCAAGAATTTTTAAAAAAAAATGATTACAAAGTTTATCGAGAAAAAAACTTTAAAAAGCTTTTTTTTTAATAACTGAAAGACGGTTTGAACTGATTTACCCTCCGTGTGTTCAAATTTCTTGAGACAGATAAATGTACATATATACAAATGTAGTCGAGATATATATTTATATATATTCATATAGTCATAGTGTAGGCATTAAAGTGGAATGCTTTGAAGAATACATTTTTCAAGAAGAAAATGCTATGATTTGCATCTGAACCCTATTTTATGTATCTTAGTCTATGCTAAAGTTTATTTAAACAAAATGATGAGATCCCAAGTAACCTGATGTACACTTAAGAATCATCAGTCGGAGATTTTAATCCAAGTGACAAATACAGAAAAAAACAAATTCAAAGCATTTTATCTCTCTTGATATTAACAGGTTTCAATTAATTTACAGGAGTTCAATTATATTTCTAAAAGGCAATATTACGAAAACATATGTTTAAAAGAACTATACAAGCTAAGTCTTGATTCCCACTCACATTTTACGATGATTATACTGATACATTAGAAAGAGAAAAGTATACAATACAGACGGAAAAGATTGAATATTACAACGTTTGATATGCCATTCCTTTTACAGTTCCCCACGATAGAGAACTGCTCATTCCTTATACCGACTCAAGTAAAAGAGATGCAGAAATTCAAAATGGAATCCACACAGGAAGTTTGGGTAGGAATTGGGTACCGTTTTAAAAAATAGCATAAGATAGACACCAAAAAATTGATGCATGTAAAATGCTTCAAAAGAAATTTGTTGGTTTATTGTATGCACAAAACAAAAACACACTTTCAAAAATGATGAAAACTTTTGAATTTTTTATTTTGTTTGAATTGATAATGAAACTGTTGGTAGCATTTTAAATTCTACTTTTAGTAATAATATTCCAGTTATCGTTGTTAGTATTTCTAATTCCCTTGAATAACCTTTGGTCGCATTTTTAAGAATTCCCTAGTTTTTCAAAGTCTTTAAATTAAATACATTGGATATTGATACTGAGTCTCGCAAATTTAATCGCCTCTGAAATCAGTTTATGTATCCTGTATAGCAACGTACAAATTTAAATGAGGTGAAAAAAATGAAGGCGAATGTTGGCATCTATTTCTATAGATTTTTTTTTGTTTGCTTTACTTGAGAAAATATACAGTGAGTGAACTACGCATTCGAATTATTATTTTTTCTCTCGTCTTGCTTCTTAACCTATGTAATCATTATTTGACAACATTATGATTCATATAAAATGTTGTATATTGTTCAATTTATTGTTATTATTTACCTTAATATTTTCTCCCTTTAGATGACATAATTTTCCGCTATTTGGGAGACTACAGTGTTTGGAAAACAAAATTATCAGGTTTGTATAAATGAAGATGCATTCTTTTTTCAAACATTTCCAAATAAGTTAGTTTGTAGAAATATATATCCTTTTTTTTCTATATTCACTCTAACATCTACATGTATATCTGTTCGAATGTATGATCATCTTGTAGGTCTTGTACAGTGTACATGTATGGATGTAAGAGGGGTTATTTTGTATGTTTTAACTGTTTAGTGTATTCACCGCAGATACAGTAAACCAACTTTTATTCGTGGCGACTTTTTTTTGCGATTTACTAAGGATAAAGTAATTCGCAACGATTAATTTTCGTGATCAAGCTTTTTTAGATCCGTTACTTAAAGACATATACACTTGAAGGACCGGTTCGCGGCAAGTAATATTCGCGTTGACGAGGATCTCGCGAACTTCGCAAGAATTTCTGGCACGCGAATAAAAGTTGGTTTACAGTGCTTTCCATTAGAATGCTTAAGCTGAAAATACCGATATTTAATTTTTTTTTTCTTTGTAACACAGGAAACGCATGTTCATTTTATTTATTTTCTTTCGGATATTTAACAAAACGACGTGATAAATGGACAGACTGTGAATTTCATTGTCGACATGCACTGCATACACAGGAAGTACTATTGACAGGAGACTGCATTAACTTTTTAATATATACGAGCATTGTGAATATTGTGTAATAAACACTTTTAAAGAGATAGAATGTTTTGAAAAAACATTTCACATTGGCTATCAGATTTGTAAATAACAACTTTATTTTACCATTTTTATCAGATGAAAGAATTTGATTTTTCTAGGCCTCCTACATTTAATAACTTTATAACTTCCAGGAGTAATGCATATATCTATTCACACGTGTATGAAGTGCTTCTACCAATTGTTTATTATCTTAGCTGCTGTTTTCGATTATGTGATTGTCAATTTCCGGTTACATTCAATTATCTATAAGGTTGTATTAGATGAGGACAATAAACAGTCATACTCAGAATATGATAAATACCTCAGAGAGTGTTCTTTTCAATAATGTCTTTCAAAATATTTTAGATGCGTTTCAAGCAATGTCTGGCGAAGAGGTATCCGTCCTATTTTGCTTTTTGTGCTCAGACGCTGATATTCCTGACTTCACTGACATATTCTGGCTTAAGATATTCAATCAGATTCGTCTATACTGCGATAAGGAAACTAAACCCAGTGACAATCTTAGAGTGATTAGACATAAAAGTATTCAGAAAGAAAATCTAACAAGTGAGGATGCTCTCCAGACTCTAGAAAGACTTAAAACAACTGAATTTCTTTACCATGATCAGAATGGGCTTCACATCACTGAGGATGCCGCAGATGAAACTATATACTGTATAATTCAGCGTTCCCCCTTGCATAGCGACTATAATCTCTTTTTATTCAGTTTCACCACAACTTTGAAATACTTTAGATCTCATGGATACCACAGAAATTCTCAAGAAAAATGTGTGATAAGTGGAAGCTTGGTCTGTGATACTATCATCGTATATCGTCTACAGATGGACATTCTAATACATAAAACTTTGGAGGACACAAACATTTTCTCTCGTGTTTTTCAGATTTGTAAGTTTTAAATTACATAAATTCTATAAAGATAGAGGGGGAAATGATCATGCTTTGGAATATCTATCAACAATTATTTATTTTTATTTTAAAACAAATATTGCCCTCATCCGGCAATTTATTTGCGCATATGTACACATAAAAGAACGCTAACCAAGTAGTTAAAATTTATATTATTATATGAATATATATAATTTATATGAAGAGCCGTAACGGCGAAAGCGCTTAGTGTAAAAAAATTAATCGTAAACTTGTTTGTTTATCTTGGATTTAATTTTGATTTATAACTTAACCTATACCTAGGACTTCTACAACATTTTCCTTCCTCTCTCTCTCTCTCTCTCTCTCTCTCTCTCTCTCTCTCTCTCTCTCTCTCTCTCTCTCTCTCTCTATATATATATATATATATATATATATATATATATATATATATATATATATATATATATATATATATATATATATATATATATATATATATATATATATATATATATATAAAACTTACTGATCACCATATTTATGTGATGGGGTAATATAAAATTAAAAAATAAAAAAGACTCATATTCTGACTTGGAGCACATATGTATTTCGAAGCATTCATACACATACATTTTTACTAAATTTATTTTTAATTAGAAACTTTCACGATACCACGTATTGAATGAACATGCAATACTGAATATATCAAATCGACTGTAAGAAAGTTTATATCTAATACTTGATGTTTAAAATCTGCAATAAATGCAAGTTTAGTAATTATGAATTTTTGTGTATAGAAAAATAACAAACTAAAAATAATCATCATTTTGGTATCTGCAGTGAATATTCCTGAGTCTATATTAAAAGAAGATGTGAATCAACGGAGAAATTTTTTAAGGGATTTGGAAAAAAGAGGAGAGGTTGTCCATTATAGTGGAAAACCACAGACATGTTTACAGGTAGAATGGATTCCTAGATTCTGGAGGCCTGGCATTGTGCGATCCTGTGTAGGGCCTCATCCTCAAATGGATATTTACATCATTAATAACAAGGCTTACCGAGAGCAAAGTAAGGTTTTAAAAAACTTTTTTTAAAATATTAATCTTAACCTAATCTAAACTGAGGTCACATATTTTTTTAAATATATATGCTGTCATTTATTTTTGTAATCTTTATATTTTTAGGTGAATATCACCACTTTTCATGGGATGTTAAAAGTCAGCTCTATTGCCTCCTTTTTATGGATAACTATGCTCTTGATGTCGACAATGATTCTCATAAAGCTGTACTAAAGAAAATCAGAGAGAAATATTGTGCAGAAGAGACTTTATCTGATGATTTCGATCTTTCTCATTTTCCGAAATTTTGCGTAAAATCACGAAGCAATACTGTGACATTTTTATCGGACGACACACGGCATGACGTCTTGTATGCGTTTGCAACGGAATGTCTTTTGGACGATGGTGATTTGGAGTTTTTCCTGACAACTGCTTCTCGACATGTGCTTTCCGAATACTGTAGGTCTTGGAATTATAAGAGGAAGGAGAAAGAAAGGTGCATTTTTATTCCAAACAGACCAAGGCAATTGTACGAATGTTTTATTAACAAGCTAGGACTTGACATTATAAAACACTGCACCGTATCGGACCAAAATATTCACGGGAAGATATTTGAATGTCGTGAGTATAGTTTCGTCCATTTGCATTTGCAATGCTTTCTTTAACATGTTAAAACAATATCCAAGCAATGCGTATTTAAGTCTGTGTCCTTATATTCATTTTACGTTTTTAATACTCAAAATGAAATAAGTTTAGATAATTAAGAGAAGCTAGAGATTCTGATTTACGATTTTTTAAGTCGTTGGAGATCAGGTTTTCCAACATTCTTTAGTTTTTGGAATTCCCATGGATCACTAATTGCATCCCAATATTTGTTTTCATACTAAGAAAATGTATTCAAAAACGTATGTACTAGGAGGAAACAGCTCTTGATGTGGCCTTACTGACTTATGTATGAATGAATGTGTCAATCAAAATTAGTTAAATTTCTTATAAGTAACCTATAATAAAACTCAAATACAGGGTTAGAAAAAAGATACATTTAGATTTGGTTATGTCCGTAAAAGACGTTTTCCTCTTTGACATAGTGAAAGTCCCAGAAGAAATATTACAATGGGGTCAGGAAGCCCGGAAAGAGTATGTAGAGTGTGCAAAGAGGGGGACACAAGAGATCCACCACGCCAGAGGGATGATTGTGGGGTGTGCCCAAGCTGGAAAAACAACACCGCTGAAACGTCTTTTACGATGTAGCAATAAGGAAATTCTGAATGTCACTCCAACAGAAGGACTTGAAGTCCACGAGAAAATACTTCAGATTTCTGATGATTCCAAATCACTCAATGGTATGAACCCATATATTATTTAAAAGAAGAAATAAAACTAATTTTTCACAACAATGAGTGGTTTTTTTTCTACCTATCCAACTATGAATTTGATTTGAATGACAATTTTTGCATATTCCTAAGTGTAGAAATACACATGGAGAACTTTGAATTCACTTGTTTTATTAAATTCACAATAAATTTAAAATTTTCTGTAAATTAAAGTGTGCACATATCTAGTTTTAGAAATTATAAACGATTTCTTTAACAATTTCTTATTTTAATTTCTATCTCTAACAACATAAAAAAATGTCACCTTGAAAATAAAATATTTTTTCAAACATGATTATAGCAACATCATCGTCGAAAAGTGGAAGAAATGAAAATACACTAGATCATAACAGAAAAACGTTAAGTTTATTTGACTTCGGAGGACAGTGTGCCTACTATGCCTGTCATCAAATCTATTTGACCAGGAAAGCTTTCTATATTATTGTGGTAGACGCCTCAAAGAACCTCGATGATAAAGTGAATAGGGAAGTTTGTGATCAAAATGGGACCTTGTTTTCCGAATGGACGTACGGTGGTAAGGCAAAAACTTCATCTTGTTTAATTAGATTTCATTGCATCTATGGAATATTTTGGGGACCAACATATTTTTGCCCTCATTGTCTGTGTATATGATAATAATCTCCATAATTTGAAAGATATCAGGACATACGAGGGCCGTTCAAAAATTACGCGGACTGTGCTATTATTTACTCTTACAGACGTCATAGAGTTATGAAATTTCACTGAAATATGTATCTCAAAGATTCCAATAAATTTTGAGCAAAATTCCTGTATTTTGAAAACATTCTACTAAAATTATCGGTATATTGATATCGCTGATGGAGAGGTACGGAGCACGACAAAAGATTTAAAGCAAAAGCATGCGGAATTCAAAATTTAACTCATTTATTTTCTATAATTCGCAATATTTTTCGACAATTTTCTCAAATGTATCTTTAAATTGTTCTATTATTGTGTATTTGGATTTCTGGCGTGATATTTGAAGTACTAAAAGAAATAGAGTGATTTTCCTCTGATGCGATTCCCTGAAAAACGACTGTGAAAATGACGTCTCCTGTATTGACGGCGCACCACACTTTAGTTAAATTATGTGTAATGCTCGAGATATCGCCAACAGAGATCCAAAATATGAATAATAAAATATGTAGTAAACTAGGGTATTCGTGACATTCGTCCACAAATAGCAAATAGGAATTTTAGACCATTAGACCTCTGAAAAATGGCTATACGGGAGGACGGGAAGAAGATTATCGACGAAAACTTCATCCGCACCGTAAAGAAAGTGATTGAGAGTAACCAATATCACACTATATTTCATTATACCTGCAGTTTATAATACCTGCAGTTTATTAGTTTTAAAACAAAAAAAGAATATTCTTTACTTGTTTAATAGATTTAAAGCTTGACAAGAAATGGTGTTTGGATGTTGAGTAGATAAGATAACTCAAACTGTACAGGTACTCTTGGGAAAATGTTGAGAAAATGAAAGCTCAATCACATATTTTTTTATGATGTCTGTGACGTCGAAGATATTGCTGCTCTGTTACTTAATGATATGTCTTGAAGAATCACTAAAAATTGATACCAATTTACAACATTTTGATATGAAATTTTGTAGACCATATAAGTAAAGATTTTTCTATATTATGTGCGACATTTTGTCCGATTATGACGTCAAATATTTTTTCTGTGCAGCAAGTCCGCGTAATTTTTGAACGGCCCTCGTAAACATTAACATCTGCTTCACCTGAATAGATTATTTTTAGTTTCCTTTTTATTTCAATGTTAAAAAAAACTGAAATCCTTTTCCCGATCTAAGCAGAAATCTATAAATCCAATGAAACAATATAAACTAGGAGCAGAGGTTTCTGCTCGGAAAAAATGTTGTAGCAAACCCTTCCCCGGATGCTCCTCTGAGTAGTACACATTTATACATATTTAGATAATTATGGTTGTCGGACTCCACCATTATTTAACAAAGCAAGAGATGATGATAGGAGATAGAACCATTTCACGCTAAGTTTAGACTTTCAGTAAAGAGTGACATTCTCGACGCTACATGTTTACCGCCTGCCAAATGGCGAATAAATTCTCATTGGTTAAGAAATTAATTACATCAGGAAATTTTAACTGTTGTTGACAATGATGAGACGACTTAAGCTCCACCTCTGTGCACGATGAAACAATGTAACTGCTTATTCGATTCACTAATTGGCATTTACCCGAATTTCTATCCCATGTATATTTCAACAGTGAAAGAAAGCTGTGTAAATTTCAAATGCTAATTTTGTAACGTCGAGAATACCACACCCTACTGAAAGTCAAAACTAAGTGTGAAATGGTTCATAAAATTACTTAAAATACCTTATTAAAGAGAGATGTTTTTTTTTAAATTTTCTAAAGGTGCTAAATAAAGTAGAAAAACAAAATTTCGGAAGGATAACTTGACAGAAGTTTTTAAAGGTGGGGAGGAAGGTGGTTAAGGGTAGAGTTATTGACGTTAATTTCCTAGACATCGTAAAAGCTAAATACTGTATTTATTTTGCAAAAGAGCTTCCGATTATTGAAATAACTTCCGAAGTGAAATACGTAGTTGTTTTTCACTGTTACAGTAATAAATACATTTTTGGCAAAAGAATTTCTAATAAAATTTGCTTTCAATAACAATTTATTGAATGCATTTAAATACATTTCAAAGATGTAATGTATTATTCAATTACATTTCAATGCCGTTTAAATTACATTTCAAATTCTTTATGTTTTTTAAGAAAATAAAATACCCGAAGTATGTAAAAAGATATTTTATATTTGATGATTACCAACACAGTTTATAGTATCAACACACTGCCCAGGGCAATTGGAAATTATTAAATAATATTGCTGCCTTGAAAATATTCACGAACACTTGTACATGACCTTCACATTTTTGGGAAATAAAACGAAAGTAGTTGATTTGTATTTAATTGCATTCTTTTAAGTAATTAAAAATAATTTATTTCACTTTAAAAAATCAATGTACATGTAACTGTATTGACAAAATTGTTAATGCATATGAAAGAATTTCATTACATTCCCATTGACAAGTAATTGACCCTACCCTTGACAGGTGCATGGATTGCATATTACCAATGCCCTGAAATCATTTCAGTTATTCTATACGAAAAAGGATTTATTAACAGACTCGATCTGATTAATGGTGACTGCATTTCATCAATTTTTTTATCATTTTATTTCAGACTATTTCGTATTCTGGATGAAGTCCATATATACATACTGCGGTGAAGAAATTGGAAGTACACTACCAAGAATAATTATCATAGTAGCAACACACTGGGAAAGCAAATATTACAAGTACAAGGTATCAGCTCTTTCTTTCTTTCTCTCTCTCTCTCTCTCTCTCTCTCTTTCTCTCTCTCTCTGCGTGAGGGTGAGGATGTATGTGTAAGTGAGGGGGGGGGGGGGGGTAAGAGAGATGATGTGTGTGTTTGTCTCTATCGGTCTCTTTCTTTAAGGTTTCGTCAAAGGTCCAAAAATTTATTTTTACAATAGCCCCAAAACTATGTAAGGTGTAAAGTTAGAACTTTAATAATTTATAATTTTTTTATTGATTAACAGATAGAAAGTATCACTTGATAAAAAAAATACTTAGAATAATATCTTTTGAGAAAAATTCTTCTTAAAAATGCATATATTTTCAAAAAAATATACCTAATTAATTCTGTGCTTTTAATTATTACCATCACTGCAGAAACAAAACATGTTAATCAATGAAGAGCAAGTTGGACTTGGATAGCCTCTGGAAAGTTGTTTTCCCTGTTTATTTTGTCCAAACGTTACGACGAGAAAGTGAAAGTACACTTGAAATGGCGGATTCTATAGGGGCCTTGTCTTTATACATGTCATGCTTTCAAGAACAATCTTTCAGAGACCATTCACGTCCAACTTGCCCTTCAATGTAAAACATATATTATTTCTACAATGTTGGTTTTCACAAAAAGGACAGAATTAAACATGCATTTTTTTTAAAATATGCACAATTTCTGATACAATTTTTCTAAAAAAAAATATCTTTTTAAAAATATTTGTTATCAAGTAATACTTTCTATCTATTAATCAGTGATATATTTAAAAACTATAAACGTTTCGACTTTATACCCCACATAGGTTTGGAGCAATTGTAAAAAAAATTCTTTAGACATGTTGACCTTTGACGAAACCTTAACTTACAGCAAAACACTATCTAAACAAAACGGATTTTTTCATGGGCTATCAAATTATCAGTTAGTATTCAAATAAAGTGACTGGCATTTTTTTCATTTATTTATATTTCAGAATGAAGAGAAATTTATAGAAGCTCTACAAAGCAAAATTCCTAGAAATTCACATTTACTGCAATACGTAGGAAAGCACAATTGCTTTTTTACAAAGTTTTCTCTCAGAAGAAACCGATGTGATGTTTCTAAACGGTTTTATCTAGAACCCTTGGATGCTTTAGAAAGACAAATCATAGACATAATCTTAGAGAAAAGGTGGGAGGTGGATATACCGAGAGAAATGAAACTCGATCAAAGAAAAATTAAATGGAAAATCTTGAAAGAGCAAGATATTGAAATGAAGATTCCGAGAGAAGGTTCGCTGGATTACACTCAGACACAGGCGTCTAAGAAGACTATGCTACGGTATTTTCACGACGCAGGAAAAGTTCTGTACTTTAACGAAGAGGGTTTAGAGGATTCTGTCATCATTGACATACAATGGTTTATAGACGCCTTTAAAAATATAATCACAGACAAGTAACATTTGAATGGAATTGATGTTACGATGGAAGATTGGGACGAGTATTATAATACTGGGCATCTAAAGGATCGTACTCTTGAAGCAATCTGGAAACGTAACGATGATGTGTTAGAAAAGCAACTGACTGAGAGCATCAGAAAAGACGACAAGCATGAAAGCTTAGATGATCCTGATTTTCCAAACGATGAGGTTTATTTCATTTTTAAAGAACCATCTGCTAGTCTGGAAAGCGAAAGCACTCTTCAAACAATGCACAATTTTCAATATCATCGAAACGTTCTTTTGAATTTTATGGATAGACTTGGATTAGTGGCTGCTGGTTCGGAATCTCACTACATACCTTGCATGAATCGTAAAGAATTTGATCAGGGAACTCGAAGGTCGCTTCAGGAGATAAAAAACAAATCCTCTATTTTAGTCTTCCGCTTTAATTTTTTGCCTTACTTTTTATTTTTTCGCCTTGTTGTTGGCTGCATGCAAGAAGAAGGATGGGTTGTATGTAAAAACAGGAACGTGTCTTGTCTCTACAGAAATGTTGCTTTGTTTTCTTTTATTGATCATCGTATTGCAATTGCAGTTACAGAAACGTCTATTCAGCTTCAAGTTTATCAGCCAGAGTCATCCCGTTTACTGGATGAAGAGAAAACTGAAGATATTGGAAGTTTTGTAGAAAAAATATTGAAGAAACTTTCAGGTACATTTCAAGAAAAAATTGAATTTGAGAGGGGCTTTAGTTGTAAAGTGGAAAATGAGCAATCAATAGCAATGGACATAGAAGAAAGCTTTATTCCGGAGAAAGATATTGTACCGGGAAAGAACAAGGTATGTCCAGTGCATCAAGGTGAGGATTTCCATTTTATTAACACGGAAAACTTAACAAAATACTGGAAGAAAAGACATAAAATATTATATCGACGATCAAGCAAATGACGATGTTACATTTTTATGATGAACCATAAAAATTGAATGATTCTTTGAAAACAATAAAAAACAGACTCTTTAAATAAAGTTTGAGAAAAAAAGATTGCCTTATAGTATGTCGTTCGGATAATATGATTGTGCATAGTTTTGTAATTGAGCAGTTTGTAGCATTTTTCTTATAAAGCAGGGTTGATTCAAAAGCTCCTAGAATTTCTTCATATTTTATTTATTTATTAGCGAAAGCTTGTGGGTGAAAATTGCAAACGAGAATATAGACACTTGTTGCTTTTTTTTTTTAAATAAAGAATATTTTAAATATTTATGATTCGCGACGCCGCGTCAAACCTAAGAAGTAGACATAGGTAGTGACTGTTCTTTCACTGAACACTCGGCATTAAAAGTCACTGGTGTTTCTGATATGACCTTAAAAAGGTATGCCCCATGTTGTGATAGCTAGGCGTTGGCACGATAAAGAACCCTCAATTTGAAAGCCTCTCTGCTCAAAGACCCTTAGAGCCGAGCATAGGTCTAAATTTGAAGCCCTTCACTGGCATACGGTGATGAATATCATACAATTAATCAACCAGTCTATGGCAATTGTCATAGAAAGGGATATTTGTAAATGCAGGGAAGACATATACTCGTTTATATGCATTTAAATTCTTTATACGTGTACGTCAAATGAGACTAAAACCGATATATGTAATATATGAGCATTATAGCATAATTATGTTTCCTTGATCTCTTATAAACCTTTGTGTGAGAGGTTTACTGATATAATTGGATATTTAGTTTATTAATTGATGATTATTTATCATCTCTGAATTGTCAAATTAGGTAAAATTATTAGGTTTGTGAACATCTCTGGAACGCTCTGAATTGAATGCGTATACAACTGATAAAGGATGGAGAAAAATGCATAAAGCATTGAAGTGGTTTTTCATTCGCATAAGACATTTGAGAAAAAAAAGAACTTCCGTTGAGGTTGATTAAAGATATGACTGCCTTTTGGAGGGTCCGTTTTTCCTCGTAGACAAGTTAAGCGTGAATAGATGTTGACCGCTGACGTACTGTGCTACATTGCTATGAAATCTGAATCTGAAATTCGAAAATCACATTGAAAGATAGAGACTACAGTACTTTTGATACATAGCTGAAAAACGAAGATACGCCTGTGCTAGAGAAAATGCCCAGATTTTTCTATAGCAAAAAATGGAGAAAAGGCAGCATTCTGTAGAAATATTTTAATCGAACTGGACATATTGGTGAGATGCTTCGTTAATTAAATGTGACATGACACACTTAACTTGGCGTTACTCTCCGGAATTTTACAACTATACTAATTTTCAGATAGCTCGTGTTTCCTAATCGGTAATTGGGATGTAGTGAAATATTCCACCATTGTTGTATTATGACTCTTTATAATAAATATGCCTAAAATCACGATAATTTTTTTGGAAATTCTACAAACTTCTGGACCAACCCTCGTATACTAGTATAGTTAAATAGTGTTGAAACAATTATTGTTTATTGTTTATTTGAATCATTAAAATTGCAGTGAAATAATAATAGCATTTTTCCATGTACCTGAATGCTATTATTCTGGTGCTGTTACATGTAACTTTACATGTATATGATGCAATGTGTAGTATTTGTAACTAATTAAGTCATAGAAATAAATGGAGAATACGAATGTTGTTCACACTGGTCAGTATTTCAGGACAATAACTGTGAAAAAAAATTAAACAAGATCCCCATGAGTCACATCGGTCACCTGAGTACTGTGGCGAGGGGAAAAAGCAAAAAATCAATCCAGTTTTGAAAAGCTTAAATTCATAATTAATCCCTAGCTTTCGCTAAAAGAGTGAATAATTTGAATTAACTTGAATCTACATCAACCTAGGATGCTTACATATTTGTTGACTTGCTGAGGCCTTTTCCCTATATGTTTGAACTTTCATTCGGCTCTACCCTAACCCAGAGATTCATGACTTGAAAAAAATGAATCTTCACTATCTGAGGATGTTTGCATATACACACATGTAAATTTAACCAATCGTGTTGTTCTTGAGAAAAATTATTTTTTAAAGATTTCTCCTATATATATTTTTATGCAAAACTTTGATCGTCCATCGTGGCCCCGTCTACCCCCGGGGACCAAGGTTTGAACAAACGCGAATGTACACTATTTGAGGATGCTTCAATAAGAATTTGAATAATCGTGGCTTTGTTGTTCTTGAGAAGATGATTTTTAGCTCTACTGGTCAGAGACCAGAAGAGCTTATGCGATAGTAATGCGTCCGGCGTCCGTCCGTCTGTCTGTCTGTAAACAATTTTTCAAAACGCTACTCCTCCTACAGTTTTAGTCTGATTTCAATATTACCTGGCACACAAGTAGACTACACTAAGATACATAGAATATTGCATCGGTTTTTAATTTCAATGAACGGTGTTGCCATGGTTACTAAAAATAGAATTTTCTGTGATATTCCTTAAAAACGCTACTCCTTCTACAGTATTGGGCTGATTTCAAAATTAATTGGCACACAAATAGACTACACTAAGATACATAGAATAGTGCATTGGTTTTTGATTTCGATGAATGGTATAACCATAGTTACTAAAAATAGAATTTTCTGTGGAATTCCTTTAAAACGCTACTCCTTGTACAATTTTAGTTTGATTTCAAAATAACTTGGCACACAAGTAGACTACACTAAGATACAAAGAATAGTGCATCGGTTTTTAATTTCGATGAACGGTGTTGCCATGGTTACTAAAAATAGAATTTTCTGCGAAATTCCTTTAAAACGCTACTCCTTCTACAGTATTGGTCTGATTTCAAAATTAATTGGCACACAAATAGACTACACTAAGATACATAGAATAGTGCAACGGTTTTTGATTTCGATGAACGGTGTTACCATGGTTACTAAAAATAGAATTTTCTGGGAAATTCCTTTAAAACGCTACTTCTTCTACAGTTTTAGTTTGATTTCAAAATAAGTTGGCACATAAGTAGACTACAGAAAGATGCATCCTTAGGTAGTGTAAATGCAAAATTTATAAAATAATTCAAAACAACAAAATTCATAAAATAGTGCATTGGTTTTTGATAAGTACAAACCAGTAGAGCTACAGTCTCGACAGAGACTTCTGGTTAAAGATGTTTCTTATATATTCCTTTGTAAAGCTTTGATCGTTCATTATGGCCCCACTCTACTCCCGGGGGTCACGATTTGATTAAATTTGCATTTACACTACCTAAGGATGCTTCGATATTAATATATAACCAATCATGGCTTTGTTAATCTTGAGAGTAAGATTAAAACCTCTACTATATAATTCTAAGTAAAACTTTGATCGTTCATTGTGGCCCCACCCTACCCCCGAGGGTCATGATTTGAACAAACGTAAATCTTCACTACCTGAAGAAACTTCCACATTAGTTTCATTTTATATAATTTTTTTCAACCCTTACCCTTCTCAGGAATCTTGGCCCTTCAATTTTACAATTTAAACTACCCTTTACCAAAGCATGCTTTGTTCCAAGTTTTTTTTTAAATTGGCACGGTGGTTCTTGAGAAGAAGTTTAAAAATGTGAAATGTTTACAGACAAACTGATGGACGACGGACTACGGATGAAAAGTGGCGGTATGTATAGAGTGATGGGTGTATGTGTCCATTTCTCAGTTCAATGCATTTGCCTAGGTCCGTCCGTGACATTTGAGGATAGCCAATGGAAATTTCTGAGAATTTGACATTATAATGCCTTTTGCACATTTTGAATTTGGTATGACAAGAATTGAAAAAAAAACAAAATTACTTTAATGTACAAGGTAAATGAAAAGGGGTGTGTTATTTCTCTTTTCATCCTCGGTGCCGTCGCTCTGTAGGTTCTGTGCGTTTCCCTCTATGTTCAATATTGTCTCCAAGGGAGCGTTCATTATTTTCAACAACACAAAAGGAATCGAACCTAGGTATAATCGAACTGTACCTATCTAAATCCTTTGTGGATATAATTGAACCTATCTTCAAATCAAGTTACCTATCTTTAAATCAATTATACCTTTCTTTTAATAAATTAGAGATACGTATGATTCAATTGAACCTATAATTAATAGATTTGAAATAAGTGTAATTCCATAAAAGAAAGATACAATTCATTTGTACCTATGTAGAATTATTCAGAGATAGGTATAATTATTTACACCTGTCTTCAATTCAATTGTACCCATCTTTAATTCAATTGTACCTATCTTTGATTCAATTGTACCCATCTTCAAATGAATTGAAGAGAGGTACAATTATTTGAAGTTATGTGCAATTATTTGAAGATAGGCACAAAGATTTGAATATATGTTAATTTGGATTTCCATAAATAATTAAGCTAAAATCAAATTATAAAAACAATCAAAACAAAACAATTTTCACTGCTTCTACATCTATTTTAATCCCAAAGTTTTACAGAGTAACAACAAACAACTGTATATATCTAAAGAAAAAAATCTTGATGAAGAAACGTCCGTTTTTTGTTTTTCTTTTTTACAATAGTCATATTGGTTAAAATCTCAGATTTTTTCCCCGAGGACTGTTCGATCCGATGTTAACTGTTCGGGACACACAAATCCTCCTTGCAGCAGTCATCTGGACATCCGGAAAAGCTGCTACCTTTAGAGTACGGGTCTTGTCCTACATAGTTTCCTCTGCAAAGAAAAGAAACCTCAATAACTATATTCGAAAAACGTTTCGATGAAAATTTTTAATCTCTGCATTGGAGTTTTATGGCACATTTCATTTTAATATTCTGACACATTTATTTTTAGTCTCTTTAATTTTTTTTCAGAGGAAATCGGAAATGGTTTTTATTAATCTTTCACGTCAAATATTATAGCGGTGGTGTTTCAAAAATGACTTTCAGTCTGCAAATCATGTAAACTTTATGAATGAGTCGTCGTTCAGCTGTCTTACCAAAATAAAAAAAATCCCTGTCTTTCGCAGTCCCTTTCAGGGCTTTATTGACACTGTATGATTTTTTTATTCTATACAAAAAACAATATTTAAATGTTGATTTAATTTTTCGTGGGACTCTATGTTACATGCGCACTTACCCTTCTCCATAATTGCAGACGTGGAAGTATACGTTGTTCCAGCCACTTAAGCCATCCATGGAGGAACAGAACTGTACAGCGCAGCCCAGGTACTCCGAGTTATACCACACAACCTGTTAATGTATAAGCAATTTTTTAATCTTTTAAAAATAGAACTAATATAAGGGAAATCTTGTTTGTGACTTTTCTGTAGTTCCTAACATTATACCTCAGTTTTATGACAGACTGTAGCTACATGTAGTTACGCAACGGTGAAACGAACCATAAGATGAGCAATGGCAATAATTGAAAATGGAACCTACTATAGGTTACTCTAACCTGTCGATGTACGTATTACATAATAATTATGTATTTATGTATTAGGCAACGTCTGTTAATTTTTCATATCAATACGTAGAATAATCTAACTTTTTAGAAGATTTTCGAGTGTTACGTATTTGGCTATGGTAAATATGTCATTGCAAGCTCTCACCTCGAGCTCCCCGTCCCCTCGCATTTCCTATTATCTATTGATATCGACCACATTAACGCACTTTGAAAGAATGTGTATGGCTTGCTCAATATTCTTCAAAATCTTAGGTATGATAAATATTTGAACCTTTTGCAGGCGCGTAGCTAGCATTGAAATGAAGTGTACGCAGAAAATGGTCGGGGGTCTGCATGGGGGCCACCCTGAGGCCCCCAGTGGGTCCAGGGCGAAGCCCTGGTGGGGGTCCAGGGGGCGAAGCCCCCTTTCAGCTCCTGGATTTTACGAAATGTTTCAGTCATTTTCCTTTAAAAGAAATCACGCTACATCTCGTTTCTCAAGCAAACACTTAGCTAAGTTATACGTCCATGGATACTTCAGGAAGAGAAGGATGATTTAATCAAATTAATTTACGAATATATTGGTATTAGAAAAAAAGTTTCCAAGTGTGACAAGATTAAACAGAGAAGTAATTTAATAAGTTATTATTGGAGTTAAATAAAGTATTTCAAAATATAAACGGGGGTGCGGGTCTTTATATATTCTGTTAGCTTAAACATGCAATGTGAGAGTACTTAAATTCTTTAAAATGGTACCATCAGTAAAAGAAGATATTCATAAATGATCTATATTTATATTAACTTTGTTCAATAATTTGAATTTTACCTTCTTTTTTTTGGTTTATCGATATTTATTCATCATTACTTTAACGGATATTCTTGTATAGTCATCCAAAACCCTTGTAACTTTTTCTTTAAATCAATGTCACTTAGATCGCTTTCCTTCATCAAATACATGTATTTGTCCGGATAATCAGGATTACGCGGATTAACAGTTGAAAATTTTGATTCAACAATATTTTCTTACTCAAGAATTTTGGAATTCAATTTATAAAAGACTGGATTATAACGATATTCTGAACAAAATTTGAATAGAAACAATAAGACGTAAAATAACTTGAAAGACAGATAGTGCCTCTTTTTCTCCGAATAAATGTCTCTCTTTCTTTTTTATTTTTTTATTTTTTTTTTTTTTTTTTGAAAATGATGTGTACGCACTTGCGTACTTGCGTATAGGCAGCTACGCGCCTGTTTTGGATAACTTTTCGGTGATAAGATCATTTCTGGATGTGAAAGTGAGCGTGTTTGATTTTTCATACTTTGAAAATTCTTTCTGTCTTAAATGTTTTACTGTTCTTCATTTTTTCCAGTTTGCATGCATTTAATGTAAACTAAAATTTATAGAAAGTTTTCAACGTCACACCAGTTATATTTTGGGTGTAGCATAGGCAACAGTACAGGGGGGAGGGGGGTTAGTCACACAAATTTTTGCAAATATACATAATATAGGAATTATAATTTGGGGCTTATCTGGGGTTTTGGGGGGTGTTACACTTTAAATTTGATATTTAAGTAAAAAAGAGTTGATCTGACAGACATTGTATATACTCATCTTCTACTTGTTATCGATGATGGTTAATCAATACATGTAAATTAATTACAACGTAGTTCGAAAGATATGACTATTACAAATTCATTCTCTCAATTACTAAAATCTAAGTTTAGCATTTTTGTTTGATACACATATTTTTTTCAAAGTGCGTAAAATGTCCACATGATTAAAATGCTGATGTACATTCTTAACGCACTTTGAAATTTTTTTTCAAAGTGCGTTGAGTGTCCCAATTTTAACGCACTTTAAAAACTTTTCAAAGTGCGTAATATTTCAAAGTGCGTTGCCACACCCGTCCCACCATGACGTGTACGTTTACAAATTTAAGCTGGAGTGGGGATATATGCCTAGAAACCTATCAGTAGTGAGAGAAGCTGGCTGTTATATACATGGGATCCAGGATTCCATTCCCCGATCCAATATTATATGGTTTTCAACATCCCCTCGCAATGGAATTGGAGGGAATAAAGTAACGCAATCATGTACTTCACTTGTTTGCATGCCTGTGTTTGTGCCAATAGTGGGTGAGTTACATGTAGATTTCTGTTCGAAACAGAAATGACAGTATTCGCTTGGGGATCCATGTCTCATGCAGTCTTGATGTACTGATATGTCATTTGCAATCTCTCACCAGAGGGCGCGCTCCACAAGCTTCACTTACGGATTTGGAGGGGAGCGTAAAACACCCTCTGGTGAGAGACTGGTGCCATTTGCGACCTTGTGATGCCCTGTATTCAATGTCATTCCTGCTTTCCATACTATGCATAAGTATTAGGAACGGGGGATACAAAATAAAAGAGAAGTATGATTTTTACCTGCGTGTAGTGGGTACAGATTCCAGAACTACAGGATCTTGTATCAAAGTCGTACTTGCTATTCTCGAGCCACCAATACTCCACTGAACGATGTATCTTTTTCTTAGCTGTAGAATGAAATTAAGGAAATCAACGATTATATGTGGTCGATCCTACTTCTAAATCGGACAAACTATATTTTTTTTACTTTGTCAATATGGCACGAATACGCCGTCGTACCTTTACAAAATACAATCATGTTAAAATTTGAGTTTAGATATATTGGCTATGCCCCCCCCCCCCCACACACACACACACACACTCAAAAAAAAAAACCCATAGAGGTTAAAAAGGTTATTTTAAAAGTCACCAATTAGACTAAGAATAAAAATTAAATAAAAACAGAATATAATTAAAAATAGAAGATACGATTAAGTTTCCAGAGAACAACAAATTTAAATTGGATTAACAATTATTTTAAAAGTAAATGCATTTATATTGTATGTGTTTATAATGAAAGAAGAATTTTTAAGGTATGTGAACCATATAGTACAAGTACACTACAGGTGAGTCAACTTTTTGTGGAAAAAAAGAAGAAATCATACAAACACATGTAAAATCTGAGAATTTTTCTTCTTACCCGAGTTGATGTACTTGTTCTCTCCGACATAATTGAATTTGTTCTGCGAGGAAGTCCGGGCGCCATTGTGAGCCCACTTACACTTGGCGGCGTAATCCGAGGCTACGGTGGCTAATTCATCGCTCCATTTCTACAAAAGATAAAGCGCATGTGTGACATACTGTTCGATAATTTCCAATAATAGGTGATTTTATGATATTCAGTGGCGTATTCAGAAATCTTAAAAAAGGGTAGGGGATCAAGGTAGGGGTCCTCAGCAACACCAACAAAACCATTGATTTATCAAATTTTGTGTATTGTTGGACACAAAACGGGGGAGGGGGGCAATTGGCCTCCTCTAAATTCACCAGTGATAGTAACCCCCCATCTGCAATGGATTAAACCCATTTGAGTCTTTTCTTCTGTCATGTGCATTGAAAAGATAATAAAAGAAATTAAGCAAGCGCGTAGGTTATGCAGGCTGTATGCGTTATACTTTTGTGCTTTAAGAATTCCTTTTTTGGTTTACTTGTTCGCGTACATCAAAGTTTACTTATAAAGATATTTAGCTGAACTTTTCATTCAGAGGGTGGGGTGCAGAAAAAAAGGGAGTGGGTAAATAGTCACTAAATACCATGTATCTGATGTTTCCGGCAGTGGGCGTGGTCTGCCTTCGGAACTCATTGTGGGCGTCCACGTACTCCTGCTTCTCGGAATCCGTCAGGGCGGACCTCTTCACGATCTCACGCTTGTTTTCCGTCGGCGGATGGGTTTCTTCATCCGTCATCTCGCCGCCATTTGACCTGTCTACTTTCTGTGGAAAGAAAAAAAAATAAGTTCTGTAATTTTTTTTTATAATCATGAGTGAGTTAAAATTAAGAAAAGAATTTCTGCCAAAATGTTGTTTTTTTTTTTTTTTTTTTTTTTGCAACTTCTTTTGATTTTTTTTTTTTAAATTTACATCCTTATCTTTACTACAAGAATATATTCTTTTTTCTCTAACGTATGGAATTGATAATTATGCATATGTGAATGTAGGTTTCAGGCAGTTTTTAAAATCATTAAAGACAAATAATTTTAAAAATATTCTAAAGAGAAAACAAACATCTATACACAACTTTACGATTTCATATGGATAACCTTTCAATTCTTTTACAGATTTTGTTCCCCGAGGCAAGGGCAATTTTGGATTAGATGAACAGATGAAAGTTGTTCTTTATAAAGTTAATTAATTAACTTTTGTACATGCACAAAACTGTCACAGACACCTGTTTTTGTAATAAAATTTTCAACCCATATTATTTTATGCAATGGTTAAAAAAGTATTACAGTAACAAATGATGCGATAACTGTTTACAGTTTCTTATACTACTGTCTCGCTGGGAAAGAATTCGTGTACATGTAACAGTTACTGCGAATTCAACCACGAAGTTTAACATGGGCACTAATATTTTACCACCACCACCAGCCCCCCATCCCCCCTTTCAAAAAATATTTAAATAAGTTCGGAAATTAACGGATCTTTCAATTCATTCTCAAACTACATTAAATTCTAATTTCTTTAAAATTCGACGGGGGTAATATATATAGTCAAAAAATCTCTTTTGAGTTCTACACTATTGTGTATCATGCACTCTTTCCAGACAAAAAATCAAGATTTCATTTCATTTCTAAATTCAGTATATGCCAGGTTTTATTTTAACCTTACCTTTTCTTCTTCTACCAGGTCACTCAGCAGTTCTCTAAAGACCATTTCATCACCCTAGGCGACTTCGATTCGTACCCGAGTACGTACTCGAGTTACTTGAGTTTCAATCGAACGACCATAGTTACTACTCAAAATACGTCATATGACCTTATAAACTATACCCAAGCTAACCCAGCCATACAGTAGGATTACTAGAGTTTCGATATGGCGGCGTCGAAAGAAAAACCCGCAACGTAGGAATTATTTTTTACTAAATATTATGTTTAGCATCGCTTATCCTTAAAAGCAAACTTCGAAACGCACTTTCTACATGAACGCTTTATAATTTATATGAATATGTGTTTATTTGATTAGATTTTTCAGGCTTACTGCTCGATAACAACAGAGACATAAATTCAAATTCGAAACCAAAAAAGTTCAGAGCTGAAAAAGAAAAACATTTCAACTGCAGCAAAAGCTATAGAAAAAATTAACTCAACAGATGATGTCAAATGTACCTATTCGACCGCCTTTTAAAACTCATAGAGGAAATTTATTTTATTTTCGCTACTCTTCAAACTCATATGAGTTCGCTTGAAAACCACATGTTTGTGTATACATCCGGTCATGTGACGTCAACCAAGAGTTAATACTTATACTCGGGTATGAATCGAAGTCGCCTCCTGAGGCATGGCACATATAAAGTGTATGCTTAACACGATCAACAGTAGGAACTTCAACATTCTGACGAGATTCAGGTATTCTCTGCAAACACGATCGTGTCGGCTGCTGTTATAAATGTCGTAATTGGCCGAAAGGATAAAGAGTTAGACTTAATGTAACCGAAGGCCTGGAATTCAATGTGCGCGATTGAAACGAAGATGGCCGATAATATTATGGACGTGTCAGGTCAGATATCGGGGTGAAATCGTGCGTTTTATTGGGTGGGAACTCGCTTTTCATTGGGTAGCGAATGTCACGTACTTTTTAGGGTATACATGTACTAAGTGAACAGAAAAAAAATAAACGAGGAAAATGTTCATGGTTGAACAAATGAGAAAATGGAGTCGAAAAATAAGTTTCATCCTAATTTTAGATCAATTTACGTAAATTAAATTTGCCGATAGTTTTAAACAAATATGAATTTTTTTCGACCAGCTTAAAAAAAACAACAAACAAACAAACAACAACAAAAACAAAAACAAAATTCAAAACACATTATTCTCTATACAAGTGTCTTATTCCGTTTAATTGAAAATTTGTTTTCTAAAAGATTAATATTTCATGTTCAATAATTCATGAGCTTGGAGACAGGGCTACCCACAGGCACCAAACTCACTTGAGTTTTTGAACCCCTATAGTATATACACTATAAGGAGTGAAAAATTCAAGCCAGTTTGGTGCCTGTGGAAGCACCTTACATTTACATTACAAGAAGGGTATACCTTTATTATGACGAATCATTTTAACTTGACTCACTGTTTGTTTGTTTATTTGTTTATTACTCTCAGACCAGATGAGGTACATGTATCATAAAATTTAATATTATTTTGCCGACGTATAGTATACAGTTATATGGATTATCTCTTTTATGCCTTTAGCCACCCCTTTCTCAATAATGAAATCAGATGTCCCTTTTCTAGTTTGTAATCTTTTCAATTAATTTATTCATTTATTTATCTACTGGCTTGTCAAGGACTTCCCTTTACAAATGAGAGCAGAGTTTTACATGTTACTATTTAATTTATTTTATAAAAAACCTTATTTATAACTTATTTAAGAAATTCGCAAAATAAACTGATTAGAGAATTATTACTGTAACGTTTCTTTCCCTCTCGCATGTGACTAGATACATGTACGACAGCTAACTGCTTAGTGCCATCTGTTCACTACTTACTGCAGACTGCTCATTGCTTACTGCAAACTGACACTGCTCAAAGATGATATTGTCTGTTTTGTTAAAATTTTTAATGCCCATACTAAGTAAAGACGAGATCACCCGTGGGTTTCCGACGATGACTGCAGACTGCTCATTGCTTACTGCAAACTGACACTGCTCAAAGATGATATTGTCTGTTTTGTTAAAATTTTTAATACCCATACTTTGATCAAACCTTATGATAGAGTAAAATGATAACGCAAATTGGCGGATCCAGGATTTTTTTTTCACAGTGGAGGAAAGGAATGAATAAATAGGAAGAAAGAGTATTCCCTTTAGATACAATATATCTAGGAACAAGGTACAGTTACTGTTTAAAGTTTGTCAATGGTCGAGGGGATTTTCGCTTTGCAATCGAAATGTCCCCGACTTGAATCCCTATTGAGCCTTTTTTATCAATTACTTTATTATAGAATTTAGCATCTGAAATGAAGTTCTGACGCATGACGTGTACAAACTACTGCAATATATTAATTATTGTGTACATATATTTTATTATAAAAGAATCTTTATATCCATATTGGATATTTTTGTTTTCTTCAGTGCAAAATTTAATAAATCTGCAAACCTTGTAGTTTTCACCATTGAAACTGTCAGGATGGAAAGACCTTTCATGTATTTATTAATATTTTTCACATTTATAATGTTGATTTGCAGATTTTTTAGACAACAGAAATAGAGGGTACTTGATTCGATACAAACTGTAAACTTGATACGAAACTAAGAAAACAGAGGCGAGGTTGTCGCAGTTGGCATCTCTGGGCCTGTATAACACAAGTGTTTGTGGAAACGACCCTCCTTTTACGATGCACTGACTTCTATGATTTTTTTAAATAATAAATTTAATATAATTTACTTTATTTTATTATCTCTTACATGTACATGTACTATACCTTCCTGGTAAAAATTCTACCTTAAAATTCGACACACTTCCTCTCTTAATTTGTTAATTTGGGGTGTTAAGTTCGTTCCATGATAAAATATTTTCAAAAATTTCAAAGAAGTGCGTAATTAACGAGATTAATTTTGAAGTCTTACTAAATCAATAGAGTGTGCTTTAGATTTATAGCAATTCATTCCTAGCAGGTATATAGTTATAGGTTTTTTTCCATATGAAAATAAATATGACATCTTTAAAGCACCCGAATGACAGAATTGCTGGTAATTTTGAGTGAAAATATAGGATAAATTACTTTTTTTTTCTTCATAGCTTATTTTGCATCAGACAAACTGATGAGCATAGCAGATATAAGAATATAATTTCTTTTATTTTTAAAGGTATATCATTTTGAAATTTTTAACTGATTGATAATTTTTGCATAGTATTTGAAAGGATGCTCTGACCTGTGTGCTTAATATACTGGCCACAAATATGCGTCATCCCTAATTTTTATACACAAACATCCTCTGTTTTAATACCTGTCCTTCCCTTATTGATTCAACAAAAGACAGTTAAAACTTTAACAGTAGCAAGAATGGACTCTGTAAACATGAAATATCACAAATTGTAAATATTTCTCCATGTATTCCTTGTATTGTCTCCTTTTATTTCGAAAATAAAAGAAGTTTGAAAATGAACTTTCTTAACACCCTTTATTATTTATGGGGGTAATGAATATGATTCATAAGCTTAGCCACCTTTTTTGCAAAAAAAGACATAATGTAGAGATTGAACATTGGGGCGTAGGTTAATCCCCCACTTTTAACAGGCACGTTGTGCACAGTTTAGGTCAAAAAGGGGTAAGTGGAAGTGTATGGGAAACATTTGGTATTAAAAGAAGTTTGATCCTCGATCCTATTAACACCCTACCCCCAATAGAATTTTCGGTCTTTGGACACATTTTCCCCTTTTTTTTCTTTTTGAGTGTCAAGTTTTTTTTGGTAGGTTTGAATATATATTTTTTTCTTTACACTTAGCCCCCCCCCCCCCAATTTCAATTTGCTTCTGACGGCAATGTCATTAGAATTTGCATGTGCTTCAGCTTTTAAGGTGTTTTCTTATGGCCAGAAACATGCACGCCAACGATAAAAGGAATTAAAATCATTTGGTAACATGTCCACTATCGATATGTCTTTTGAATTAGACTTTTAATTTAGTTTCATTAAATTTCTCTGTCATGTCATATAATTAAATTACAGTAAAATAGAATTCACAACCTATACGTGAATAATCAGGTTGTTTGATATAAGGTACAAAGTCTTTTTAATTATGTTCCCCAAACGAAGTTGGGGAACATATTGTTTTTACTCTGTTTCTTATTATTATTATTAAGGTCTTCCGTTTCAGACGGAAGACCTTATAGTGATTCTACTGTTTCTTTTTATTATTATTATTATTATTTTTTTTTCCCCTTTTGTAATTTCTTTTTTTGACGATTTCTCAGAGATGACTGGACAGATTCTCATGAAATTTTCAGGGATGATAGAGAGTGAAAATATCTTACAATTGTAGTTTTCAGTTTTTCAAAACTGACTTCCGGTCGTCAAATATGTCCGATTTCCGTTTTTCCAAAAGTGATCATGTCCGGAAGATATCTCAGGAACGATAACAGATTAAGACATAAAACTTTCAGGAATAATAGATCATGAAAAGTAGATTTGTGCAATCCGTTTAAATCCGTCCTCCGTCACTTCCGGTCGTCACAGGAAGTGATCTAAGAAATCAAAAATTTCAACTTTTTCTTTGATGAAATTTGTTTGCATCAGATTATAGTATCTTATTTGTACTTTCGAAATATGTCGGTCCCACCGGAAACAAAAACGACAACTTCCGGTTATAAGAGAAAAACTGCATATTTTCAGTATTTTTCTTTCCCATAAATATTTTTTATGGATGAAGTATTTTTAATCATTTTTGGATATGTTATTCAGACTGCAAATGTCTACAGTAACGTCAAATATTTTTGTAAAATTCACTTCTGGTCGCGTGGTTTCCTGTCCTCAAAATGAGAAGTTATCATAGCTAGATCTCGAAAACGGTAAGAGATTAAGAAACAAAACTTATAGGAGTAATAGATCTTGATGAGTAGGCAAAATCAGTCGTGCTAAGATCGTCCGCCGTCACTTCCGGTCGTCACAGGAAGTGATCCAAAAAATCAAAATTTTCAACTTTTCGTTTATGAAACTGTTTTTGCAACACATTAT